TAAAAAAATTTAAAAAAATAAAATAAAATAAAATAAAATAAATAATAAAGTAAAAATAAAAGCAGTAAAATCCTTGCAGGATTTTAAATGCCCAGCCCAGTGCTTGGCACATAGCTGACACTGGATAAATATTAATTGGTGGCAGAAAAACTAGAGAGCAGACAACTGACCACCACAAAAAGGTTGTGCCCCGTAGCTGAAGAGCCCAGGTCCCAGAGCTGCATGCTCAGAGGCCCCTGGCCTAGAAGACCTGCCAGTGTCCACTAAATACCTCTCATAGACACTCCAGAGGGCTCGCCCAGCAACAGCGCTCAGTGCTCAACCCTCCTTAGACTGACCTCCAGGCCGCCTGGCCCAATATGGACATTCTCCATGGCCAGCCCAGTTTATAGCTCCAGGCTGAAGTGGAGACGTGGTGTTGAGGGTGGCAGCAGGGCGGAGGGTCCAGAGCCAGCCTGTCCCTCCTGGGCCACTGAGCTGTCATCTTGCTGATGCTCTGTATTCAGAGCATCACGTCCCTTTGGGTTGGACAGCCGTTGTGTACAGGGTGCAGACAAGAGGGCCTCTGGCTAGGCTGCAGAGCCATGGCCCTTTGTGCCACCCCCCCCCCCCCCATGTCTTGTGCACAGCCAGACCATTATACCTCCTTTCAGAAAGAGCCTTTCGAAGAGGGAGGGCTTTAGGAGGAGGAGTTTCCCAGCAGAGATTTCACATCAGCCCCTTGTGTAGGATTTGGATCATTGATTTTATTGATAAACAGAGAACACCGCTTGACAAAAAACAAGGGAGGGCTATTATAAATACATGAAGATGGAACAGAGCCTGTTTTCTGAAGGCAGCAGGGCTGTCAGACTTGTGCTGAGATGCCCCTTGCTTCCTTCTGCCTGGGCCTGGGCTCCATGCGAGGAGAGGTGGTGACACAGCGCTACAGTGGATCTAATGACTTCCTCTGGTGGCCTCACCTTCCTCCCTGTGAGGGTCTCCAGGTCTGCTTCTGGGGTTCTGCCCTTGGGAAGCTTCTTCTCTGCATAGGCAGCACCTGACATGAGCTAAGGCATATTTTTAGTGCTAGAATGCAGGGAGGGGGAATGCCCTTAGGGAGTGCGTTCTGCAGGGTCCTGGTAGGAGAGGACATGCTGCAGAGGGGGCCTTTGGCCATGGGCCAGGTTGGTCCCAGAAGGGCCAGGTGGGGGTGGACACGCAGGGAAGAGACTGCCCAGCAAGAGCCGGGCCTTGCCAGAGACGCATGGCCATGCACCCCAAAGACAGGAAAGCACTGGGGCAGGATACCCATTCTCCACTTTGGGATCGTGCCCACCTCCCAGGGCCCCATGAGGGCTAGAAGACATAATGGTGCTATCCAGCCCAGGATGTGAGAGGACCCCCTGGCTTTCTATATTTTCCATACTATGAGATGGTGTCACTGCTGGGAGGAGAAAGCTTTTCAGACTGACACTCAGCCTGGCCCCAGTAGGGAGGTGACATTCCACCTCAGGCTCTGTGTGAGGATGGGTGGGGGTGAGGGGTGGGGTGGCAAGTTTCAGGTCTGGTTGTCATCCTGAGTAAAATTAACAAAATAAGCAATGAAGTAGGGAACGTTATTACTAACCTTACAGAAATACAAGGGTTCAAAAGGAATAATATGAATAATTATATGTCAACAAATTATATGCCTAGATGACATAAACACATTCCTGTAGAGACAAAGACTACTGAAATGGAGTCAAGAATAAATAGAGTGTCTGAGTAGACCTCTAACAAATAAGTTGATTATTATCCCAATTATTACCCACAAAGAAAAGCTAAGGCCCAGAGAACTTCACTGGTGAATTATACCAAATTTTTTTTTTCCAAATGAAAAGATGCTCAATGTCATTCATCATCATGGAAATACAAATCAAAACCACACTGAAATACCACCTCACACCAGTCAGAATGGCTAAAATGAACAACTCAGGAAACTAAAGATGCTGGCGAGGATATGGAGAAACGGGAACCCTCTTGCACTGTTGGTGGGAATGCAAACTGGTGCAGCCGCTCTGGTATACGAAATATTTTAAAATGAATTACCACCAATTGTTCACATACTCTTACAAAAAATAGAATAGGCGGGAAAACTTCCCATCTCCTTCCATGAGACCATTCCATGATTGCAAGACTTGATGAAGATACCACAATAAAAGAACACTATAATAGACCAATATCCCTTATAAATATAGACACAAATATATTAACAAATCAAATCCAGCAACATATAAAAAAAAAAGGATTATATACATGAGCAAGTGAGATTTATCCAGGAATGTAAGGTTGGTGTAACACTGAAAAGTGAAGCAATCTAAAACACCATATTAAATAGAATAAAGGGGGAAAATCCACATGATTATCTCAATAGATATAGAATAAGCATTTGATAAAATACAACACATTTTCATGTGACAAACAACCAGTAGACTAGGAATAGGAGAGAACTTCTTCAAGTTTCTGAAGGGCATTCATGAAAAGCCCACATCATACTTAATGGTAAAAGACTTGTGTTTTCCCACTAAGGAACAAAACAAGGATGTTTGCTTTCACTACTTCTATTTGATATTGTACTGGAAGTTTGAGCCAGGACAATTAGATGAGGGGAAAAAAAAAAGCCATATAGATTGGAAAGGCAGAAGTAAAACGATTTCTATTTATAGGTAATATAATCTCTAAAAAAACCTTAAGGAATCCATAAGAAAGCTATTAAAACTGATACATGAGTTCAGCAAGTTTTCAGGATAGAAAATCAGTAGACAAAAATCCTTTGTATTTCTATATACTTGCAATGAACAATTTGAAAATGAAGTTAAGAAAAATTCCATTTACAATAGCATTGGAAAGAATAAAATAGGAAAAATTTTAATAAAATATGTGTAAGACTTGTTCACTGAAAACTACAAAACATTGCTTCAAGGCATTAAAAAGGATCTAAATAAATGGAAAGGCATCCCATGTTCATGGATTGGTAGACTCAATATTGCTAAGATGGCAATATTTCTCAAATTAATCTACAGATTTGATGCAATTCCTAACAAAATCCCAAATTTTGTTTTTGTCTTGCTTTTGCTTTTTTGCAGAATTAGTCTTAAAATTTATATAGCAATTCAAGGAATCCAGAATAGAAAAAAAAAAACAAAAACACAAAACTTTAGAAAAAAAGAATAAAATTGGAAGACTCACAACTTCCTGATTCCAAAACTTACTACAAAACCCCAATAATCAAGAGAGTGTGGTACTGGCTAATGACAGACATATAAATCAATGGAATGAAATTGAGAGGCCAGAAATAAGCACATACGTTTATAGTCAATTGATTTTCTACAAGGGTGCCAGGACCATTCAATGAAGAAAGAGTAATATTTTCAACAAATATTAAAAACATGTATAACTGTGTATCTACATACAAAAGAATGAATCTAGATCTCTACCTCACACCACGTACAAATTTAACTCAAATGGATTATAGACCTAAATGTAAGGGCTAAAACTATAAAACTCTTGGGAAAAGGCCCACAGGAGTAAATTTTCATTACCTTGAATTAGGCAATGTTTTTTTAGATATGACATCTAAAGCCAAGTGACAAAAAAAATAGATGAAGAGAATTTCATCAAAATTATAATCTTTTGGGCTTCAAAAGACACTATCAAGAAAGTGAAAAGAGAAGGATGGAATAAATGTTGTAAATCATAGACAAGGGACAGGAATCTGGACTATATAAAGAAATCTGACAATAATACAAAGAAAAACCTAATTGTTAAATAGGCAAAGGATCTTAATAGACATTTCTCCAAAGAATCCATACAAATGAATAATAAACACATGAAAAGATGCTTGACATCATTAATCATCAGGGAAATAAGTCAAAACCATGCTAAGATGCATCTTCATACCTGCCATGATGGCTAGAATCAAAAAGTCAAATAACAACAAATGTTAACAAAAATGTGGAAAGATCACAACCCTCATACAATGGTTCAGCTGCTTTGGGAAGCATTCTGGCAGTACCTCAAAAAGTTAATACACCTACTGTAGGACCCAGCAATTCCACTCCTTAGTATCTACCCAAAAGAACTGAAATACATTCCACACAAAAAGGTACAGAGATGTTCACTGGCTGTATTATTCATAGTAACCCCAAAGTGGAAACTACCCCAGTGTCCTTCAACTGATAAACAGATAAACAAATCTGGTGTATCCATACAATGGAATATTATTTGGCCATAAAAAAGAATGGAGTACTCGAGTGCCTGGGTGGTTCAGTCGGTGAAGCATCCAACTTCAGCTTAGATCATGATCTCATGGCTTGTGAGTTCAGGCCCCGCATCAAGCTCTGTGCTGACGGCTTGGAGCCTGGAGCTTGCTTCAGATTCTGTGTCTCCCTCTCTCTCTGCCCCTCCTCCACTCTCTCTCTCTCTCTCTCTCTCTCTCTAAAAACTAAATAAACATTAAAAAAATTTTTAAAAGAATAAAGTACTGACACATGCTACAATATATATGGCTCTTGAAAACATGCTAAGTAAAAAAAAAAAAAGCCAACCACAAAAGACTACATACTGTATGTTTCCTTTAACATGAATGTCCAGATAGAAAATCTTTAGAGACAGAAAGTAGATTAGTGCTTGGCAGGAGGCTGGGGACTGGGGAAGGAATGGGGTGTGCTGATAATTTGGTTTGGTACTTAATTTGGGGGTGATCAAAATGTTCTGAAATTAGATAGTGTTGGTGGTTGTACAACTCTGTAAATATACTAAAAACCACTTAAGTCCATACACCCTTCAGAGGGTGAATTCTATGGTATGTGAATTATAGCTCAATAAAGACATTATTTTAAAATTGCCATGTGTTTCAACAATTTTTAAAAATTTCTCTGTGCTTTAAAAAAAAATTTCGTTCTTGGAATCGGTCTGGAGCCCAGTGGAAGTTGCTAGCCTCTGACTCATTGTTTCTCTCTTTCCCCTTGCTTGTTTAGGCCAGGTCACTGGTGACTTTCCCAAAAAACCTCTTCAAAAAATCTGGGAGTCTGGAGATCCCCAAGCTGGGCCTCCCGTTCTGCAGCCTTGGCAAGCCTCACCATGTCCTTGAGTAATGCCTGTCCCTGAGAACCATCACCCCCAAGGTCCACTGAGCCAACCTGAACAGCAGGGGGCAAAGGAGTTAAGGGCCTGGCCCTGCCCTGGCTCTTCCTCTTAACCCCAAGTGCCTAGTTGTCCTGTGAGCTACGCGCCCATACTGCCTAACTCCCAGATCCAACACATACAGTCCCTGGGCTTGTCACACCACAGACGTCCTGGACTCCCAGGACTCATTTTTTAAGCCATCTGAGTATCCACATTTCTCAGGAATCATTCTCAAAAATCCCCATTTCTCCCTAATGAATGCTCCTGGCATCTACTGGTGGTCATGAAATGGGCCAAGTCACTGAAAGAACCATTTGTCAACTCTGTCCTGACAACATCACTGGGGCTGCAGGTAAGTGGCTGCCAGACTCCGGGGTCTGGGGTCTGGCCCAGCTCTGCTGAGGACTCCGGAGGGGACCTTCTCTGTGTATATCAGAAGGTATCTGAGTTTCAGTTCCCACAAAGGCAGATGCCAAGACAAGGATTTGCTTCAAGGCGTCTTATCTGGCAGGTGTTTGGGGGAGGCACAGTGAGTGAGGCAACAGAGGAGGACGGCTTGGGATCCCAGAGAGCACTCGGGAACCGCAGAGCCTGAAGACATGACGTGGCTGTGCCCCTGTCTCTTGGCCAGTTAAACTCACATGAAGATCCGAGATATAACGGTGAAAAGCTCTGACGCAGAGTCAGTGCTCTGGAAACAGCAGTTGCTATGATAATAGTTATGAGAACCCCTGTGAGGATTAAATAACACACTGAGATAGCCCAGTCCTGCATCGTCTCACAGGAAGGCTGATTTCTCTTCATTCGCACGTCCCTAACCAATCTGCCCAGCCCCACCTTGCTGATCTCCCAGAGGAGGTCGTGTGTGTGTGTGTGTGTGTGTGTGTGTGTGTGTGATTGGTGCCTACCCCCCATACTCCAGCCTGCCCAGGACCGCTGCAGAGGACCTGAAGCAAGTGCACAAGGGAGGCAGCCGTGTTCCACTTGGCCCCAGAGCTAATGGAACCGCTTCCATCACCACCGGCCTAGGCTTTAATCATCCACGCTTTCAAGTGGAAGGCAGAGCTCCCCAGACACCAGATAGGCCATCATCTTCCCACTGGGGGTGCAGAACAGGGCTGATGAGGAGAGACGCTGGACCTTCTTTGCAGGCAGACCCCACGAGGGGCCAAGATCACCTCTAGGCTGGGGGTGGGGCATGATGGTGAACAACAACCAGAGGCAATGAAATCAATCACTCCCCCTAACCGCAGCTCCCACAGACCCAGGTGGGGAGGGAGTGTCCCCCACCTCCAGATGGCTCTGGGACATAAGGCTGGCAAGGCAGAAAGCCAGCCCTGAACTGGGACTGCCTACTCCATGGTTCTCCAAATACGTCTTGGCCTCAGAGCCTTGTTCAAGTGAAACGTTACATGGAGACCCAATGCATAGAACTCTCTGCTTGACATCAGCCTAGGGGCTGCTCCCTTTCTGCCCTGCGCCCCCACTCCCAGGCTGCCCCTAAGAGAACACTGAATAGCACACTTGAGTGGCCCCCTGTCACCCTGCCCTACCTCCCTACAGTGACCATGATCTGGTGGACGGCCACCGTCTCCCCAGACCACACCGGCCCTTCTCACGGCCTCCTCTCCCACCATTCCCTTCTCCCCCACATCCTCCCACCTGCCCTTTCCACCTGCCGTGGCCCTCCCAACCCAGTGCAGAATGAGGCAAGGGAAACATGCAGTTAAAGGTTGTGAAGCTTCTTCCTTTCTCTGTCTTCCTTTTTTTCTCTGTGTTTTCATTTGATGTTTAATGTCCTTCTAGGTAAAGAAAAACTAAAATGTTTAATTGTTGGTATGAACTTTACCATTCATCTTTCTATTGTCCTATGCCAGTTTTAAAGACAAGCATAAGAGTATTTAATTCATACGCAGAATCAGTAAAACTTCTGTAACTTGCAGGTGCATTTTAATGGCGTGAACATGTCATACAACAAACTGTTTCACTTTCACTCCTTTGCCACCACGGCACATTCTACCAACACTCTCCACCTCAGCGTACCGGTGAGACAAGAAGGAAAGTCACTCGCTTTTCCTCTCCTGTGTCACCAGGGCCCAACGATGCTGGTTCTAACAAAAAGCAGGGCCTCTGCGGCTGAGCACCTCCCCCCCAACCCACACACACACCTCATCCGCTGTCCACAGGACGAGCTCTTTGTCCTCCCTGAATCCCAGCCCCACACAGTCCACCAGCACCCTGTGCTCCTGAGATTTCTGAAGACATATGCAAACAGGGCTCTGCCCATATCCATGTATCTCCCCGATCACCCATGCTCCCTCAGCCCAGGACAGCACTTAGAGGACACAAGTTCAAAGATAAAATTATTAAGACTTTCGGGTTTGCTACAGCTGAGCATTGAATCCAGCACAGGCTCTTGAGCGCGGGACCCTGTACCTCTGTGAGCGCGCCCGCTGCCCGCTTGCTTTCTCCCTTGGCTGACTGATTCTGATTCCACATCGCTGGGACCTTATGGGGTAGGGGCCCTCCCAGTGACCCAGGGCCTCCTCTCTCAGGGGCTCCTCCTGCCACCCAGGCTGCTGTTTATAGGTGTGCCTCTCCCACTAGACCACAAGCTCCCAGGGGCAAGGCTGTGTTGGTCCGGTTGGCCACTGGCCCCAGTCCAGAGTCTGACACAGTCACTATTTGTTAAACGAACATATAACAAACAAATAACTATTTGTTAAACGAACATATCAACCACTCGCTGAGTATTAGTTGGGCACCTAAGATGGGCCAGGCGCCTCCGGGGTCAGGGAAACTCTCTCCCAGCCCTCCCCTGCTGCCCTGGGGCTCCTGTGGTGGGGAGGGGCAGCCTGTCCCCAGAAGGAGGCCTCCCTGACTTGGAGCTGACCTGCTTGTCCCACATTATCGATTTTCAATTGACCTCCACTTTCCACTTTACAGTTCAGAGCCTCTGCGGCCTGAAACCTCTCTGAACAAACCTTCACACCCTGGGAAGACCAGCTGGGCACCCGGGTCGGGTCAGGTCAGGTCAGGTCGCAGGGTATCCTCGCCTCCCCTGGGGAGTCCTCAGGCCTTCAGCCATCAACACCCAGACCATGACTTCTTTCCTTTTTTTACGCTTTTATTTTGAAAATCTCAAATCTACAGAGAAGTTGCGAGAGTGCAATGAATTCGCGTGTATCCTTAAATTCAACGATCGTTAACAAGGTGAGGACACCCTCTTGCAGGAATACCACACAATTATCGAGGCCAGGAAATTGAACAGTGATGCAACTCTGCTTTCTAATATTCAGTCCATATTCAAACTTTACCCATTGTCCTGACATAGAGATCCTGCATTTCATTTGTTTATCAGGTCTCTTCATTAAGGACCTTTTCAGAGAGAGGGAATCACAGCCCTGCCATCCCGCCAGGCCCCTTTCTCTGTTCTCATCCCCATGCTTCCCATGCATGTGCAAATATGTACACACACGTGTGCGCGCATGCACAGGCACACACCCTGACACACACACACACACACACACACACACACACTGGTCCAGGGTGGGGTCTTGAGGTCTGCACACAGGCCCTGTGTCTGCCACCTTCTCACACATGTTACCCCTTCAGGCAGCTAATTCCCCTCTCATGTCTGCATTGCAGTCCTTATGGTAGTTGTGCTGTGCTTTGTTTATAGATTTTTCCAGAGAAGGAGGGCTGTCCCTGCCTTCCTTGACATCATAAGGCCTACTGAGTCTGAGTCAAGGGATCCTCTGAGGGGCCTCCCTCTGGGTCAGGGCCCAGTCATCCCTGCCATGGGTATTTTCCTCCAGGCCAGCCTTGTTCAGGGCCAGCTAGCCTGTGGTACAGGAGTCGACCCTGCCTCCAGAGACATCGGCAGAACTGAAGGAGTGAGTCTGGGGCATGTAGCCGTAACCCTGACTTAGCAGGAGGCGTGGGGAGCTGCTGGCACAGAGCAGTAGGTTCCACCCCTGGGTGAGGCATTTGAACCCAATGATTCTGTGAGTCTCAGCTCCACAAGACCTTGGGCAGGTTCCCCGGCCTCTGGAAGCCTCAACTGTCCCCCTCTAGAAAATGGAAAGAATAATATCTATTATAGGAAGGTTAACCCATGCTCAAAAAAACCTTTCCTATCATTCTGGAAATGTATTAGGTGCTCAGTAAAACTTGGCAACCACCATTACCATCACCCCTTCCTTCCCTTCTGAGAGCACAGAACCCAGACTGGGCATGCTGTCTACAGGGCACTCAGGCATTTTGTCCGTCTGTACTGCTTTCTCCTTTGTGCCAGACGAACCCAGGAGTCAACTCCTGTACCAGCAGAAGGGTTTCTTGTGAGGTTCCCAGGCCCTGCGAGCACTACACCTTCCTCTGCAGATCCCCCTACCGTCCATGAGCACCCACACGTGAAAGGACCAGAAGAGGGCCAGAGCCCCAGACCGTTGTGCTCAGTAGCCCCAGGGCACAGAGCCCAGCCCGGCAAACAGCAGCATGAAGCCCAGGTCCCCTACTCTTGGCAACCAGAAGAGGCTTCCTGTGGACGCCACCTTCCTTGGCAGTGGAAAGGACAGGGAAGGTGCCTATTAGGGGCATGGTCCAACCCAGTGACACTGCCCAGTGCAAGTCTCAAGCCCTACGGGCTGCACGCAGCCCCTGCGGCGATAGTAAGGTGCACCAGTCCGCTCACAATGATGTGCTCAAGGTGACCTGTTGGGTCAACTGGCGAAGCCAGGCCTCTGTGCCTCCAGAGATCTCAGATGTGCACACTTGGCCCCGACACCAAGCCCAGACCCCATCACTCTGACCTCTGGGGCGGCCCTTCTGTGCCGCCTTCTCTGTGTGACAAGCCTGTGCCCCACCCAGGGTCAGGCACATCACTGACACTGGGGGACTCTGGGGCCATCTTGCTTTGCTCTTCCCAGGCCTTTCTTGGTCACAACGCAGACAGTTACCAGGTTACTTCCAAGCCTACACAAGACTAGAATTGTGGCTCCTCGCTCAGATTTTGCAAACAGTCGGCATTTACTGACAGAGGACCTGCCGATGTTCAGTTGCCCTGTTTTTCCTGCCTGCCTACTTTTTCTTTGTAGTGCAACCTTGTTTTCCCAAAGATGATGAAGACTATTGCTAACATATTTGTATTGATCAGATTTACTTCTCACGACTTCGTTTTGAGAGAGCAGGCGTGTGGATGAGATGCCGTCTGAGATCAGAGAGCCTGCTTCTTGCGGGGGCAACCAGGCAAGCAGACATCCTGGGGAACATGGACTTTGAGCGGACCCTCTGGCTCAGGGACAGGCATCCTGGGAAGGGTGACCCGTACAAGCACCGGTGTGAAGGTGGGAACGAGCACAGGTGATCCGAGAAATGGTTGCGGGGGCCCAGCGGGAGCCAATGCTGGACAGATGGAGGGAGTCAGTCCCAGCTGGGCCTCAGCCACTACAGGGCCTCCCCGCCCAGCCCCGTGCTGGGGTCACAAGGCGTGAACATGATACTGTGGCAAAAGCTCTCTGCACACCGTCACTCGGTGGTGATTGTGTTACTGTCCTTTCAGGCCCTCCCCGGCAGACGCAGTGGTTTGGAGCCTCCCTCCCTGGGGTCCACTGTGAGCGGACACCATGACCAGCTTCTTGGGGTGGGGGTGGGGGATGCGGGCCCCAGAACGACAACCCCATCTCAATTACCACTGCCCTCTGACATGCAAACACGGACAGGCTCCAGCAGGAAAAATCAGACCCGACCACAGAGAGCGCGGCATGGTGCTGGGTCCCTGGA